TCTCAGGCCCATAGTCAATCAGCAAGCGCAACGATTTGCCGTTCCCATACTGCGTACTGAGAATTTTCCTGAGGATGATAATCAGTTACGCGGGGAGGGCCGGGCCCAGCAACAACTGACGACATCGAACATAATTGACGCGCAATTATAAAGCCCGTAGCTGACACGGACAATGAAATCGGGGCCATTAATGACTCGAAAGCGAACTGCCAAGCCATCACCGCACCAATTAAGACCCCAAGCGGTGGTTACAGGGGCTGATACTTATAGTACGCATGCGAATAGTCGCTACGAGCTATAAATATTATGCAATCTGTGCATGTATTATCCCAATCTGTGCATGTAAGGATTCTCAACAGAATCCGAAACGTCAGAAAAATAAAATTCTTGTTCCGGTGCTCGCATCTTTTTATTTTTTTTCTTCTTATTATTTTTAAGACGGGTGCATCAAGTCGTGGACAACTGAGTGCAACAAAATGCACATTGGAGAGAGAACGCCATTACAGCCTCATCTTTAATCCTTAGTCGGACAAAGTTAACCCCGCATTTGTTAAGCTGCCATGCAAGAAACATAAGCACGTCGACCGTCGATCTCACGTGGCCTATCATGTACCCCAGAGCATCGTGCCATAGGTACGGCGACTCGGGCGTGAACTAGGGTATAGTGAGATAGCCAATACAAGCGAACATGCGAGTCCCAGGAAGTAATGGAGATGAAGGTGTGATCGCTGGGACAGGACTTTTATTCGCCTGAGGTTTCGTAATCCATCGCGGATCCCTCATCAGAGACATTAGCAGAAACAGATAATTCATGCACAGGGAGTTACAGTATTTATAAGATACGGTCACTATGCTACTGCACATTTATGACAGTTAACGGCTCCCGTATTGAGGATAATTGCCCGCTTGGGCGCCAATTGCTTGATGACCGGCGCGCGGGTCGCGATCTGCTGAACTTTCATCACACGTGGTAGAATTAGACGCGATGACTGCTCGGCCATCTGGTTCCCCGGCGTTGGCGTTGAATGACGCATTGGCCACTTCCACCTAGTAAGCAAGTAGACCCCGTGCAGACAGACGGACGCCTGCCACTAACCAATGCAGTCCCTAGATTGTTTTAATTCGACAGCGGCACGTGTTTGTGGAGTTGAATTCAAACTCCGAGGCAAAGTTGGTGCACAGGTATAAAGGTCAACTTAGTTTTAATGAGACGGTAAACTTCTTTCTGTCTGCGAGCTGGACTGTTGGCATCCACGCAAATGCATACGTTTTATCATCAAAAACAATGTTTTAAAATTACAGGGCATCTCACCTGACGAATCCGACCCTAAAAGCTTCATCAGCATAGAGTCGTCTACCCGTGAAAATTAGGTCACGCGCCAGGCTGTCGCTCCCAATGGCCGCTGGTAGTAGTTGAAGCGTGCCGATGTCGGCCGCAAAACCAAGCTCAGTTTCCTTCAGAAGAGAAAGTAAGTTTCCAATTAGGGGAAGCCTATGGCGCCCAGCAACGAAAACGGTATACATCAGGTGATCTAACTCAATTTCGTGATCTAAATAGGAGTAAGTAGTTTATCGTACATTGACCGAAATAACACCAAACGTCTACTTTCTAAACGAAGGTGTCTGTTTCGAGAAAAAAAATGCCCAAGACTAGGAAAACGTCCCAAGGCTGGGGGAAAAAGATCAATCGCTGGGCCCTACCATGGCA